AATACATCAGTTCGGTAGTTCAAAAAAATCACCTGATTAACTCGTAAATATCAATTTTTAGGGTGGTCTATATACAATTATTCCTATTTTTTATTCTTAAATAATGTAATGAATTAGAGATATTAACTAAATATATTATAATAATTATGTAAGGCATCACATGCAGTAAATTAGAGAATAAATATTTATTATATTATAAAATTATTTCACACTATCGATCGTTAAAATTTTTGTATCCAAAATATTTTTTACTTTTTATTTATTTTCTTTAAAATTCTATCTCCTTGCATTAGATTGTGTAGAGCTACATCCATCTTACTCCATACTTTATCAAAAATAGATTCCATCAGTTACCAGAATTCGATCATGGGAAGCGTAGCTGTCGTAGAAAGCTTGCAGGCCATAATGAGCGTCGTAGGAAGCCGCCAGCTGCACCCTTGCTATCACGCAAAGGGCAGATTTTATCATTCTTACATGGTAAGACTCGCGAATAACATATGGTAAGTTGTATGGTATTCATGGTAATATTGATGGTATTGTGGTTTATTACGTCACAATACCACCCATACTACCATAAGTACCACCAATACTATAAAAAAAATCATCATCCGCACCTAATCTGGACGCAGCTCACCAGAATGTATTAATTTCTCCTAGTTTTACATCAGCACAAAATTACTTGTAATCTTTGTTGCATTCTGATATGATACAGGCGATAATAGCAAAGCAAGTTGCTCTGCCTTGGACTTGGGATTCTCTAAATTCCTGGGGGAGTCGATCAAAGGTGTCCGGCCAGAAATCAGTTGTGGGATTTGTGGAAATAGTCGAGCTGCAATAGACCATCAATGGCAGGAAGACTTCAGCAGCACCCAAGTTTCCATGCCACCATGGTCTCCAGGGAGAGCCCTCTTCTCTTCATTGGGGGAGGTTCTACAAGGTGAAGAGTACTTCACAGGAGTCTCAGAGTCTAGCTGTGCTCTCTCTCTTCTGTCATCCCAGACATGGGGCGCAACCTTCCCTGCCAGAACCCAAGCAGCTTCCTGCTTCAATAGACCTCAAACCCCACAAACCACTATTTTGAATAGCTACATGAATGCCAATTCATGGAGTGTCAAAGACCATTATGGTAGCGAAAGTGGTGGCAGCGGCAGTAGCAGTAGCAGATCATATCCAGTTCGTAATGTCATGGAACTTGACCGCTCACAGTTCGCCCGTGAGCTTGAACAGTCCGGCTTCCATGCTGGCACACACAATATGGAACTTGATCATGGTAGGCGCCATGGGAATTTACATGGTGGGATTCACTGGTCTATCTAGGTGGCATCATTCATTAATGATACTGCTGGTTTTTTTTTGTTATTTGGCTAATTATTGGTTGGGTTTTGGAATTAAATATTATTAACTTATTTGTGATATTTCGTGATGCGTGGTGTTTTCAGGGGTGGTGATTGTTTAAAATCTTTGATGAAGGTAGCAATGTAGTCAGTGTGCGTGCAACTTGAAGTGCTTAATGCCAAGAATTTGTTTTCAGAAGTGTTTTTCATTCCATAGTGTATGTGTCAATGCCCAAACTAGAAAGTGGAGGCAATGCAATCTTGAATAACCAACAAAGTTACAAGAAAGAGAAATCATGAATCAAAAGAAAATTGTAATTGTGTTTGAAGGCTTGCCGAATCAAATAACCAAAGACCTTATGTCCACCAATTTTTTTCATGCTTTTGCAAGGCATTCACGAGAAAAAAAATAGCTTGATGATTACTTT